GCATGTTGTTAGAATGAGAAATGGTCCAAATTTGTGTCCACACTTACTAGTCCCGTGCCGACCCCGATGGCCGCGGTGACGACCCAGCGCATCAGGTTCAAATGGCGGCTTGTCCACGTTCGGTCCTGTTCCACCATTTCCTGGTAGGGGGCATTGTGGCAGATGTCGTAATCCAAGCTCTGCAAGGACATGACAAAACATGAGTGACGACTTCATCACAACGTGACTAACCGTAAATGAACACCTGGAACTCATGCCAAAGTCTCAGTTTGGGTTCAGTTTAAGATTTGAGATTTAGACCTACCCGACGGCTGCACACGTGAAGTAACTGGTTTTGGGACTTGAAAATTCTTACCACGAAAAAATCTTAGTCTGGTTCTGCTTGAAGCATGCCATGTGATCTTAAAATCATGTGTGCACTATCAACTGGACGACTGACCCTACTTGAATCCGGTGGTAATTTAATAACTTTAGCAGGCATATATACATCAAAGAGGGAGCTGTCTACTTGTAGCAGGCTAAATCAGCCAGCCTAATTACCATTACGATGTTTGTGGGCGCCAGCTAAATATATACAAAGTTATTTGCCTTACCTCATAGTCTTTAACTGGTATCCAACCATTGCCCCCATGTGGTAAGGGACCAGTCAACAAATTCTGCAAGAAAACAAAATGAAAAATGCACAATTTAGGGCTTAGGCCTACTTTAACACTGTAACTTTAATGGCAATCATGGCAATAACTGAATAAGCAGATTTCAAAAATTTCGTTTAGACTCTTACTAGTTGTAGCCTCTGCTATGCTTAAGCTCCTCTAAAATTAAAGACAGCAGCCCGGGCACAAGTGACTTTGTAGTACTGTGGCACTGTCTCGGATCATGGCTAGGCCCTTTTGTGGGGCTAGGCCTAGGGGCCTACATCATGGCCTAATCTGCTAATAAAAATATTTCTAAAAATGCTAAAAAACTTCCCGAAACTTGCTTCTTTTGCCTTGTTTAAGTTTTACAGGCATATGACCATAACAACTGTGCAATTTAAGAAGAAACAGTCAGGTTTATAAATGCTTCCCGTGGGCCTACGGGTTTGCTATAACGGGCTTGAAGTTCTGAATCTTACCAACTCCTCACTTCTGACACTCCTTGTGGAGCTTGACCTGTCCCGCCGTCGGCATCTGGAGCAACAGCCACACAACAGCGACTCCATGCCTACCCCAAATTCACCGCAGAAAAACCTTTCCCGAAGACAGGACCATACCTCTGTTAGTCTTGCATAATGTGCACATCGCCACAACCTTGCCGGGGGATCACAGTAACATGAACAGTTTACGTGGACTTTAGACGTGTCATGCTTAGGAAAACAAAATAGGGCCTATCAAAAATGTTGGCAGTGCGTACGTCTGTCAGTGCAATATTTGTGCACAGCCTGGTGTCCGGATCCGTTACAAGTATGATTTAAATCGAGGCGGTCACTAGACAAGAAGTTAGCAGACGATTATCCTAGGTACACGCCCCCTTTCGGCGCGGCCAAGAGAGAAAAAGATAGTGAACGCGGAAAAAGATTAATTTCAGACAAAAATTGTTTCTGGATTATTAATATTTCCTTTCATTTCAACGTTCTCGTAATATCAGTCCCTTACCTACTGCGATTGTAACGACGATAGTATCAATCACGATACGTTAGATTAAAAGTAGACAGACTTTCCACATTGGGTAGACCTACTTCCAAACTTTCTCAGGCGTCCTGTTCAAAAACTATTGTCAAAACAACTAAAAGCAAGTCTCCATTCAAGAAAAAAAACTTGAACTGAACAAATCGAATTTGAAAAGTATTACATTCCACAGGGGCCTTCAAATCTTTTTTTAAAGCAATCAGTCATCGTGGGAGCTATATCAGCAGTTACTTATCTTCAAATTTACAAGCGACGATGCAACTTTACAGTCCCAACAAAGTGACAACCTGGGGAAGACAGTTTTCCTTGTTATACAGATATATGTTTTATTGACATCGAATTGCATCAAATGTAACATTTCTCTTGGAGGGGCTGGTCTAATTGTGGGCCTCTTTATGCAGAAGCCATCTTTGCTTGTTCAGATGTCTTTTTTTGGACATCTGTATTTTTTTGTCGGGAAGAGAGCTCAGAAACTGGACAAACATGGCATCTGCATAAAAAGGCCAACTTTCTGTTTCATGACATTGAATTGTACTGCACAGGCAAAATCAAGATGGAAAAGATTCTATTTATCAGCAACTGTCCAATGCATCCAAGAAAACAAAACCTGAATCCAAACTTTCATTCGTTACAGGGTAACAGTCTAGTCCTTGTGCACATCATCTGGCATAAGTCATAAACTACTTCATGAGATCTATGATTCATACATCTTGAGACCATAACTGTGATCAGTAACTAGACTTACAATAAACTAAAAAATTATACTTTACACAACTCCGTTAAAACACAACAGAGATGACTGAAACACATACCGAGCAACTGTCCTACAGGCCAGGATTGGGCAGAGCATTCAAGATCTACATTGCTGAAAAACATTGCAGAAGCCAACAAGTTAGGGAAACCCAGTGTTACTGGAAACAAAGACTTCATACATGCATTGCTGGTGTATATCTCTGAATTCCTGTGATGCATGTTCTATGAGGTCGAACACACCAGGCAAGTTGATGAAGACATGAAAATTGTTGGTTCGAGAGATCATGAAAAGTGGACATTTGGAGGATGCACGAAACCAAGGACCACTGTGTCACTGGAATGCAGCCTGATCATTCATAGCTAACAGATCGTGATTAACGACAGACTTTCAAAATTTGAAAACATATCCACCGTAAGTGGAGGGCAGACTTCCAAGGGAAAAATTCAAACATTGGTTTGGAAAAAGAATCCTTGACAGGAAAATGATGAAAAAAGTGATGACAACAATATGGAACATGTATTTAAAAGCAATGGTCAATTTACACTGGACTTGTGAGCAGAAGAGATGCATTTCTATTGCCAAGCAAGGAATCCATAAAATTTAGACATTGTGCATGCGATTTCAACCAGACACCTTGATAATTACGGCTACGACTGGATACAACACGCGCACCTATGGAGGCCAATGCCTGGTGGCTTGCAGCCACTTCCCACAGATGCGCATGTTACTGCTAGCCCCAGCCGTTCAATTCAGACACGGCTAATGTCTACACTAAGAAAACGTCTGTACCCAGCAGTACAACACGTACATTGTGTGACTCCTCACTGAACAGAACAAGATCATTAATTTAGCTGCCAAATGACCTAGAGACAAGCACAAACAGTGACTGGACTATATGAATATACTATACAGCATTAAGACCCATAGAACCACCAAGAGAAATGATGTGACTGCATTTTTTCTTAAAATCTCAATCAATAAAGAAAACCAATACAGGAAACAACTCACAGCCACGTTTACAACGGTATCATCTTTCTTATGTACAGCTACATTTCTGGAATGAATAAAGGAAAGCCACTGAATTCAAATACAGACGCATCTTATACATTAGGAATTCAAGCCGAGCTATTCTCACGTTCGTTCCTCTTTTCTCTCTCTAAACTCTTCATCTCTACATTGCAGAAATTTCCTTATTAGCTTGCTACTCATTTTTGGAAATTCGGCACCGAGTGGTTCGCTCGTAAGTTGGATGACCGCTAGTGCAGGTAGGAATAGATTTCGTTTTATACACAAGGCAACCTCAAGGAACTGCCATTTTGAAGGCTTTTTTTTTTGTTGCACAATTTCAAGCATCATCAACATTGATTTGTCCCTGTCCTGGCGGTGTTAGGACGACGTTCTTTTCTCTCCTCTGTGAGCAATTTTCAATGTGTGTTTATCTGATGCATTGCCCTCAAGCTTGCTTGTAGAAATGCGCCAGTCAAATCAACAATTCTTTAATTATATACAATGACAGATGTTCCAATGGGTGCCAGGCACTGGCCCAAGTGGACACCTGGCGAGGCCAGCGTCGCGTACCTCCATTCTCAAGACTGCTGAACTCAATCCAATGCACACAAAATGGCTTATTGAAATTACACATTTCCAAGTCAGCGTGGATGATGTTACTTTCATCTAACAAGTAAGGAGCCACTTTTAAAAATTTGTTTTCGCATGCCAACTCACAAGGGTACACATCAAATTTATCATAAATGTTTTGACACAAATAGCTCTTTTTATTTTTACAATATTTAATACACCGATACAAGCTCACGTTATACATGTATTGAACAAATCTGCAATACCTACATCATAATTTAAATATACATGTACTTTTATAATAACGTCAGACTAATGTGCTTCAACCGAGCTCAAGTCAAATGTAGGCTACGAGACTAAAAAAAAAAAAGCATCAGAACAAAACATGGTACAAAAAGTGACAATCATTCATCAGGGAAATTGGTGAAGTCATCGGTTCCTTTCATCAAATTATTGGCCCTCGTTTGCTCTCAGCCAAACAGAGTACAAAGATTTCTTTTGAAAGAATCTGCGTAATTTTAAGGCGCTGGCTCATTATTTTCTCCATACATTTTGCGCAAAGCCGGCGTTTTGACTAAAGCATCACACAAAGCACAACATCTGTAACCATGAAACTGATTAACAACGTTAAAGGGTTACAAAAATAAAAAACATTTAGTTTACTTGAAGTATTTCAAAATAACAATAAATACGTAACCGTTTAAAAAACATCATACATTTAATGTTTACCCCATTAATTGTGACCCCAAAATGATTGAAACGTTCCTGCGTTTCCCCGCCCACAAAAAATCCCCTTTTGGCCGCTCAAGCAACCAGGCTGATTGGATGACGTCATCGCCAGAACAATGCATGTGCAGTGTACATGTACATAGTGCACGGTACATGCAGTATCACATGCAATAGACCACGTTGTGTTTGATGTAGCTTGGCCGCTACATCAAACACAACGTGATCTACTGCGAGCGATACTGCATGTACTATGCGCTATGTACATGTACACTGCACATGCATTGTTCTGGCGATGACGTCATCCAATCAGCCTGGGAGCACGAACAGTCGAAAGGGGATTTTTTGTGGGCGGGAAACGCAGGATCATTTTTGTTCATCTTTCGGTCACAATTCATGGGGTAAACATTAAATTTATGATTTTTTGAAATGGTTACGTATTTATTGTTATTTTGAAATACTTCAAGTAAACTAAATATTTTCTTTCTCTGTAACCCTTTGAACTGTTCAAAGCCGACCTTAACTCACTGGACTGTAGAGTGACTAGGCGAAAATACCAAAACTGAAGGAATGCCTGCATGTTTCTTCTGTGCGCTATTTGGATGAGTGCCCTCTTGTCTGAAGCAATCTGTAATTTCATGTGTAAGTCTGCCGGAACACACTACGCGGCCACCGTGTACGACAAATCAAATCTGTGACTTGGGTATCCTTTACTTTAACCCTGGGCAGCGTGAAAGCAACTTTCCACTAACCACTATCGCTTTCCGCTATCGAGTTGGTCTCGGTAGTTCTCACAATAGGAACACTGTGGCTGTGTTTGCCTTCTTTCTTACTCGGGCCTTAATTATGCATGCAGTGAAATGCATCATTCATTATCTCTGGGTGTAAAAAGATCTCGCAAAATTAACTTTCCTCTGACGCGGGGAAAAAAGTTGTTACATATATGACTTCTGTAAGTTTCTCATCGCTTCTAAATTGTGTTAACAACTTTGACAGATCGTTAAAAGATACAGATTATGACATATCTTAAATATTTTCTTAAATTGTTTGGCTGATTCGAAGTTTTTCACTACAAATTTCGGTAAACCTGAATACGGACAGTGACGTCCACAATTTAAAACAAAAAAAAAGTTTATCTCTTTGTAATCAGCTAAAAAAGAGGACTGAAGTGGATATGCCAAACATTTACATGCATACACATTACAGAGAGAAATATACACTTCTCAATAATGCCAACAGAATGGGAAGAGGGGATCAAAATGAGCTGGAGAGGGAGGGTGGGTAGGGCGTGGTAGAATGGGGGGTAGGGCGGGGTTGAGTCAAGTTGGGCAGAGAGGGAGAAGCACGTGGGTGGAGAGTGGTCGGACGAAGGAAAGTCGAAGGAGCGACGAATGAACGAGCCTCGAAGTTCCTGTATCTCTGATTGGTTAGGGCAATCTAAAATTCAACAATGCACCCGAAAGGGACACCATTTGTCTTCTAACGGTTTCTGGGTCCAGACTTTTTAGGTTTATTTCTGGAATCATCCCTATTTTGACTGAAGGAAAATTTTTCTGAATTTTAACCCAAGCATTCAATGTAAAATCAGAGCATTTCTGACTAGCCTTTGGGTCTGGTGCCTAGTGTCACCACTGTGCTACATGAATGACTCACACAGAGTCCTACGAACCAGGACACTTGGTATCAAGAGTTGATCTTGACAGCTACATGTGACTGACCCAAGTTTCTGTGCATCGCGACATATGGGGAACAGAAAAATCAAAGGTTTCACAAACGTAAGGGGGGGGGGAAGTACGGGAATGAGGGTTGTGAAAACTGTGTCAGAAACTGACACATCTATGAGATTCTTACCAAGAAGAGAGTTACAGACATCCTCTGGTATTCACTTATTTTTCCGGAAGTAAATGAATACCACTAGCTTGTACAGAAGTATACATTACTTGAGTTATTGATGAATCAAATCCCACGAGAACTGCTGGATTTCATTTGTACACCGGGAAAACTACTCAATGTATATTTTAATCGACAGAAGACACGCAGGGAGGAAAAAAAGGATGGACCAAGGGGTGGAACGGGGAGCATGGAGAGAAAGACGCAGATGAAGAGAGTTGACTTCTATTGGCAAGCACTTCTGAACTCCTCTTCCACCACCTCATCACGTTGGGTTCCAGGAACGCCTCCCGTACTACTCGTCGCCCCTGACTCTCTCTATTTACCTTTTGTGTTTTCCACAATTACGACTGTGAATGAAACAGACAGTGAGGAAAACAAAAATCACTTTGGTTATGCGCGCTTGTCTCACAAAAGCGACAGTAAATATTCTGCCCATCTCACACCCCGTCTCCTTTCTTTTTAAAAAAAAATAAATAAATAAATAAAATTTGAATCGCAAAGGGTGAATTTAGGGTGGAGTTTGGTACAGATATGTTTAAACAAGCAATCAACACATGGAGTATATCTGATTACACATTTGATTGTTTGGGAACCAATGGAACGATTATGCCCACTAAAGCACGTGACCTATTGTGGGTATCAACCCCATAGCAACCAATACAGCCAAGTTACGGTATGGTACCCAGCACATCAGTAGTCCGTTGGTTTTACTTTTGGTAAATAATACTTACGAAACACTTTGCTTTTGGTGAACACCGTGTTTGTTGATATTGAATATGCCCACTATAGGTCACATGACTTAGTAGGCACAATCAGTCTATTCAAAACGAAATCCACGAGACCATACGCTGTCCAGAATGTATATTTGCATTGGGGTATACCCTCACGATATGTGGCAGAGGGGGACCCCCCCAATGTGAGGCACAAGCTGTATACCCTAAGGCTATTGTGCCTACTGCACCCCCCTCGGAAATCTGAAAGGAATTCCAAAGATTCCATCAACACAAAAGAAGACACAATAGAGGGGGGTCCCCCTCTGCGGCATATCGTGCATTGTATGATGGGGGAGGGGGGTAACGTAGGTACATGTACAAAACACAGCTGAATGGGGAAAATACCGGTACTCAGCACGTCAGGATTCACAAGGGCAATTGGTTTGATGAGGGAGAGGTACCATTTTCTATACACGCCATTGGTACGTCACTGGCAGTTTTGAATACACGTCTACTTGACAGTTCTACCTAACTAGACATTTCTATTTGAGGCAGAGGTTTCGGGCACAAAGGGACAGCATCAACGTCAACTGAATAATATTTATTTATACGAACATCGGAAACACATGCCAATTTGTGGAAAGCGGTCTGTGAACAGAACATGTACTGCTAAAAATCTACTGTAACAGTAAACTGGGCGTTAATAGTTAGAACGGGGACTTCACGGAGCAAAACAGGCTAAATCAAGTTGGCTGGCGTAGGTAGGCTCAACTACATGGGAGGAAACGAACAAAGAAATGAGACGAAAAAAAAAACCCTCTCTGCAATTTCTCTTACTGAGCAAAATAAGTTGGGATCCACTTGCGTCAAAAGCACAATGTGGTACGATTTTGTACATGTGGGCTGCCAATGTTCGCAGGGCAAAACCTCTTTTTTATCGGTGCTCCGCAAAAATTGGGTAAAACTGGCCCTCGTCCTGTTTTTGGTAATGTGAAATAAGTACCGGTCTTTTTCAATTACATACAGGTAAAATTGAACAACTGCAAACTTGATACAGGTAGGAAATTCTCCTTGATTTGGGTGACGAGGGTTGTTTGAATGGTTGGTGAGGGATGTACACATAGATTAATACATCTTCAGGATCTTGGACTACGGTAAAAAAAACAACAAAAGACCGCTACAGACAGCTACGTGTATTTTTACATGTACAGTATCACACTACATGTCTGGGAAGATAAAGAAGGCTGAAGTATGCGAGCTATTTCAGCAACAAAAGGTTAGGGTTTATTGTTAGTGGGTTACAGGTGGTGTGGTATTTGTTCAGGCCAAATTAAAAGTTTCAGTCACGTGACGCCCATATTTGCCGACCAACCCTACACTGGGAACTGACTTTATGCACATCACAGGAAATACTGAGACAGGCGCTTGTGCATGTATGTTGAACGAGCAACTGTCCGCCTTAAGAACTTCTCTGGCGCGACATACTGCACGATGGGGTTCAAAAGCATTGCCTGCTGGTGAACAGTGCCGCGTAAAACGGAAGGGGAAAAAAAAAATGAGCGGGCGCATTTTACAGCTTGCAGTTGATGATCAGTTGGAATCCCAGAATGCACCACATGCCATATTTGTGAAGCCAACAAACACACTGGAACGAAAGAAAAGAGGGGTCGGGGGAGGGGTCTCACCGGAGAATATCTACAGTTTATTGATCTAACATCAGAGCATGAAAGCCGGGGTTCACTTTCTGAGAAACACAATAAAAAAAAAATCTCTGCCATCATTCCCCCCCATGGATATTTAATAAGAAAATGAACTGCTCTCTTTGATTACCAAGGTTTGCAAGAACCCACGGAGGAAACAATGCAACTATGTACCGGTACGTATATAAATGGCTGAGTAAAGACTGCACATAAAGGACTCCGTGCGACAAACAACCCTGTGACCTTTGTGTTGACCTCTGAGATCTCACCTCTGACCTCCGCACCCATCATTTGCATGTGTCCCACTGAACAAAGTTTGTGCGATGATCTGTGCTCCAAGAGTTCCTTTTTTCAAGTGCCAAATGTCTCCTTTCCCTTTTGCCTGGCTTAACTTCTTTGAAAACCGACATGTACCGTCCCGAGTTACAATGTGCATGTACACCTCTACTTCATGTGCGACCGTGAAGGCAATAATTGGTCACCCGAACGGCAGGTGCATACATGTGTTCATTGCATCCATACGTACATGAGTACAAGTTATCGCTTACAGGTATGTACACCTATGTTAATGGTACAAAAGAACGAACAAGTAAGGTAGACAAGCAGTCGCATGCCGACTTGATGCTGAAAGGAAATATTCTATCAAGCACAAATGCCATACAAGCCAATTCACAAGATATTGGTGCATACATGTCCGGGCAAAATTGAACATACACTACACGCATAACGGGTTGCTGTATCTCGCCGTGCCACAACCTGTGGCGGCACCAAATGCTGGGGGGAGGGGAGACTGTTGAGAGGGCGGAGTTTAAAGGATCGGTGGGAGGGACGCGCCCCAAGAAGGCGGGGATGAGAGAGACAGCAAAACTCTGACTGAGCAGTCTCGTCTCAGTGCTCTCAATCTCGCCTTTGGATAGCTGTTTGGCAATGTCCTCCCACCTCGTCCCCTTGACCCCGCCCCCATCCAAGCCCTTTCTACCACTGTAAGAACATCAGGGCACTTTGCCAAAGAAAATGTGTCAAATGTATGTTGTCCTTTTGGTCTAGTGCTCCATGTTTTTGGTCTTGCCGGGTGAATCCATGAATGGGAGGAGGAAGAAAGAGAGGGGGGCGGACCTTGGGGAAGAGAGAATCTCCTCCTCGTGACTGCTTGGTGCTGCCACAAAGAGGACAGGCATCACATGCACGTCTATGTATCACAAAAGTTGCTCTTTGTTCTCATGCAGGCGACCTAGCCTAAACTTCAGGAAAGCAGTCGGCAACCGTCTTTGTGGTGGTCGGTGGTTTGTGTTCGTGCCACAGTGGTCAAGGGGCATGACCACTGTGAAGAGTATGGAGAGACGGCGTGCCTAGCCCGATGACACACACTGTCCTTTTGGGGGGGGCCCGTGCCACAAATGACCACACAAAAGCGAGCAACTTTGCAACTCTGGCTAGCCGTGCCTTCACCGTGTTTGTTAACCCTCCACTTTTTGAATGAATGACTATCAACTACCCAATTTCTCTGAACGTACCGGATGAAGACAGGTGAGCTACAAGTTTTTTTTTCTCTTTCGCAGTTGAAGTTTTCATACACTCCCATTCATGGATTCATCCATCAACCACTGTAAGATGCCGTCACTACATGGCAGTGGTACAGCGCTCATGCACAGGTGGCTGTGTGCTCTACCAACTGGGCGTGGCAACTTTTCAAAGTACCAGGAGTTTCAGCATGTGCAGTGACCGCGTCTGGTGCGATCAGTCTGTTAACAAATACCAACGCCTTCCACATACTCCACTGTGCACGTGCGCAAGGTAACAAGCTGTTAAAAGAGGCTTTGTGTTGTAGCCATCTTGCAGGGCAGTTTTCTTATTCCACAGGGTACGCACAGAGGAAATTTCCCTGTGGAACAAAATAACTGCCATGCAAGATGGCTACCACGCAAAGTCTCTATTCATAAAACTTGGGTCAGCATACCTTTAGCCCTGTGTAGCCCACACTGTAAAGGCAAACATGTGAAAAAGCGAAGTGGGGGGAAAAAATGCATCCATCAAAAGGAGGGAAAAAAGGAAGAGAGACAGGGAGATGGAAAAAAAGGAAGCAAAAATCACAGAGGCATGGTCAATGTCAAAGCCGATGGTTACTCAAACATGACATTGAGATGAGTTCTCGCAACAGTACTGGTAGCTACATGTATGAATTCATCATGTTCAATGCAATGCCACACATTACACAGTAATAACATTCACGACAAGATTGTCGCTACTGGCACTTGAATAGAAGTCTCAAAAATTGAGTCATTTGTGAGTAGTTCCAAAGACCACTGTTTTCTCACCAGTGAGTTACACTCGTCATTTCTATGAAAGATCACTTCAGAGTTGTACTTGGGCCACTATGACGAGAGATTTCTAGCATCACGACAAACATCAGTGCTTCTTCGATTTTGATTACGTGAACCAGATTAACTGATAATAAAATCATGAACATATGAACTAATCTGTAAGGCTATCACTGAACCGCTATGGGTGGGGCTGGTTAATGTAATGGTTGCAATTTGTAGCCAGTGGATTCCAGTGTGCCCATCATTTTGTAGACATATTCTAGTATTTTGGACACGGCTTATCAACTCAAGGTCAAAATTACAGTTCATTTTTTCTCAAAATACCGGTACGGTGTATCTTGAATTTATCACTCACCACTGTGCAAATACCAGGAACTTAATTCTCAAACTGAACAAAAAAAAACAACACGACAAGAGATGGGCAGCCCGTCTTCTGAGAAAACTGTGACCACTGAAATGACTCCACATGTGATCCTAACAAAACTGTGCCCCCCCAAAAAAAATTGTGAATGCATCAGACTTGGCAAAGAGATTACTTGACCATTTAAAACTGCTCTTTAAGAAAGTGTTTTTTTTTCTTTACAATATACATGCCAGTGAAGTCTGTGACCCATATAAGTAGTCAGGTCCCTAATTCTGCCACCTTTTGTAAAGTCTGGCGACTATATGGTCACAGATGATAGGCTAATCCACCAATCAAAATTAGGATTTACTTCTGTCATGGGACCAGGCACATGAGCAGGTGGCATGCCCTAGTACAGTGTTGTATTTGAGTCCAGTCACAAGTCCCTTGACAAGTCCAGGCACAAGTCCCTTCACAAGTCCAGTCACAAGTCCCTTCACAAGGTGAACAGTGACAAATGAATGCTTTTGTCGCAGCTCATTTGAACAGTTTGTGAATTGGCTTAAGATTGAATGACTTGTGATAGACTTGTGATGGGCTTACAGGGACTTGTGATGGACTCAAATACAAGGCTGCCCTGTTAACATGCCCCTTTCACCAGTCCGATGTCTTGATTTTTCTATATGTAAATGCACGCACGCCTGAAGTTCAACAATGCGTTAACGTTTCACACCACCCAAGTTGTGGCACCTGCTCAGCTTGGTCTGTAGATTCATCAGAAACGACACCACAGCTGTGGTGGAACCAAACTAGCACGGTCATTCTGAAACTCAACATGTGTGCAAAATGGGAAAATCACAGCGGCCTCATTGGCCAGAGAGACACGTAACGCATGCCATCACCTGTCAGTGAGCACGGCCCCACCACAGTGACGGCTTCCAATTCTGTTTGGCGGATCAGTCTACATCGGGCTTTACACGGGAAGGTTTTGATTCTTGTTTCACCTTCTGACCTAACATTTCTTAAATGGCATGCAGGAAATATGGCTCCTACACGCCAAACTTTTACATAAACTGTAGGGTATTCTAATAATAAATAATAAAAATGATTTAGATAGGGACTAACAATGACAAATTCCTGTAACAGTGAAGACTTTTTCAGCAAGACTGCCGTATTTACTTTGACTCTCAAACCTGCAGTCCTGCACACTACTTTTGCTTCCTCGCCAAAAACCAATCAAGAAAAGAACTTTTTGAAGATCTGAGCTAACCAGAGTGCCATAGATAATCACAAATACATGTACGCCATGTTCAAACATGTTTTTCGTGCAAAGCCAGAATTTGGGCCTGATCAGATGTTGATTCATGACAATCAAGAAAATGGAAACTCCTCAGAAACAAATGACACAACACTGTGAAGAAATACGGCGCATTCAGGCGTGGACAAGCTTTATCGACTGTGTGTGGAACTCAACTGCTCCAAGTCCTTCAAAATCCAGAACATGTGCTTTGGAAGATTTCTCAAGACTGAGGAGGGAAGAGCCAAGTTGTTCTCACTAAACGTCGGTTCACACTTGGTGCAAAAGTGAACAGGAATTCAATTTTGTGACGTCAGATCAAATATACACGACGCAAATTCCCAAGAGTTGGACGCATGCCAACTCAAGCGAATTTTGCTGCATACATTTAGTGACGTCCAGCTTGCTACACTTTCCAATTCACGTGAAGTATGAAATGGCTTTAACGCATAAATATGGGTCTTGATGCCCCTGGAGATTTTAGGCATGCACATCCAAAAAAACCTGGAGGTCTTGTGCTGGTCGTGACAGTCTAGTGGGGGTGCTGTGATAGTCTTAAAGGGTCTTGGATCTTAAGAGGTGTCGCTTATGACAGTACAGAAATTTGTGCTACTGTGCACTTTCTGTGAACAGTATGCCTACTTGTGGCAAGAGAACTCGACTGGCCTAGCTCACTAGTTGACCATCCTAAATTACCAGCAAGGCGATCCCTGTAAACTATTTTCTATTAACTTGGTGTAGGAATGAGGAAGATGCGATGGGGTAAATTACAGATTACCGCCTCTGTGTTCCAATAGGTGAACCCAAATTAATTAGCTCAAGTGGAAAGTACTTTTGAAAGTGAGGACGCATTTCCAAGTATAGCAAAACAATCAGGCTCCTTCCCATTTTCAAAGTGTCCAACAAATGAAGTGGATTCGGGGAACATGATTCACGATGGCCATCTGGCGAATTAAGCCCACAACAGTACTGACTCCTCTTATACCAAGTCCTTCAGGGTAAAGGTAATGCCGGCTTGGCTTTATAGCTTGCCACTCCTTACAGGGGGTGGAGCTAAAAGAAGGGCGTGCCTTACCTATTATTATGATGAGAATAATTGCGATAATGATGGCGAGAATGATCATCATCTTGCAGTTCTTCCACCAATATTTCCTCTTCAGCTTGCCGGCGTTTGTCTCGAATTGCGAGGCCCCTTGCTGAAGCGCATCTGGGGTACAAAAAAATTAAAATTAAAAAGCGGACGGAATAATAGCAAAGAGCTGACTGGCATCCCGCAACAAACCCGGCCGACTTCAACAGAGCTGGATCAAATGTGCCACACGGAAACAAATATTTACAAAGCTGTGTTTGTGTTTTGACTGCTGAATGAGGGACCGGGCCACTCCAGGGTCCAAATCTGTTTTCTTCTTTTCTTTAGTTTTTGCTGGTAATGACCTGTTTTCTGGAACCGAGACAACACAAAAGCACACAACACGTGGGGAGCACATTCAGGAAAGAAGAGATCACATTTAAAGATCATGACCCCTAACAGGTTCACTCACCGGCGCGATCGTCCAGTTCTGATAGCTTCTGATCCCTCTCTAGAACTTTGTCTACGTTCACTCGCATAATATCCACCACCTATGTGGAAAACAGTAGCATCGTTATAGGAAGTAATAAATGTTTGCGTATATGTTCTGGTGCAGTAAGAGAGGACTGTCCACTTTGTGCAGGAACAGACGCCGCGTATTTACCCCAAGAAGGACGGTCCTTTGGTGGGAACTCATTGGACGTGCACATTGGTTCATGCGTTTGACTTGGGATGCGCTGAGCGTGCGCCACCAATTTATGTTGGAATATTCTGTCTCTGCATGTGCTGGGTACCCGGCAGGGTTTATGGCTGGGTTTCCCCTGCCTATTCAAGCGTCAGGCGGCCCACCTCACTAACGTTCAGTGACCACCTCTGGCCTTTCTGTTAAATTTTACCACCTCACACTTAAAACAGACAGAGACGGAAGGTAAAAGGCAAAATAACTTGAATATTTTGAAATAGATCAGTTTTAAATCATTGAAAATGGTAAAAGAGACACAGAATACAAGATTGATTTCTTTTGGAAGAGAAATTTGCTCTGCCCCCCTCTTATCTTACCTCGTCCACTTGGGCTTGGGTTTGTTGTAACCTCTTATTAGTTGGTGGCGCGGCCCTTTGAAGGCAAACAAAAGAAACCAATTACAATTTCTTACAATTTTAAATACGCAAGCTCAGTAATACAACAAGGTAAGGTCATTCCGGATGAACACAACAGATGTCGTGCCAGCTGAACACGTTCAGTACGTATGTCGGCATAAGGTTGCACCGACGAGGCAGATCTCACGAACGCGTTGATCATTTAAAATGACGAGTGACTTGCTTCACTTTGAGCATGCTCTGTTGGAATACCAAAACTGGCTCCTTCAAAATTACACCTATCCGTACGTAATTACACATGCGTTCATCAAACCAATCAGTTGCGTTAGAAGGTATCGAAATACTAGCACAAAACATAAGCCATCATCTTCAATTCAGCAACCCTGCACACTTTCACACTGGCAGGACATTAAAAGACGACCAGTTTGACACAGACAATGATAATAATAATAATTGAAAATTTATAATGCGCCGTTTCCATAAAAATGATCAACGGTGCAGTACAAGTTGACATAAAAAAATATTAACAATTACACTTGGTGTACAATTAGCATTGACAGTGGTTCACAATGTCAACTTTGCTCACGTGGTTCACATACACACCACACACTGTCAGGGTACATCTATATGCACAGTTTATCTAGGTAAGGCTCAGGGCACAATTAGTACTGGGGTGAAATACTTACAAGTAGCTTTGGTACATGGAAGTGGAACCAACTAGGCTTACCTTTGTTATTCTACATAATCCAAATCCATCAAAATTAAATAACTGTTGACTCTGGTACTATGATGGATTCAAGAACGAACCCACAACTGGCTAAATTACGACATAAATTTACATGTAGGGACTGAAATCCAAATTCTGAAATACACCTACACTGTACACTGTTAGCTAACATGTAAAAATACAAATGTGAAACATACAGTACTTATCTTACATTAATCTAACCTTTGGATTGTGGTGGATGTAATAAAATCACATTGCTAATGAGCAGGATTTAACCTTTCACATTCACAGGCATACATGTACATGTAATATACTGTGTTTAACACACAGGTAACTTGTGATTTCACCATGGGCGTGGGCTACACTCTTGTTACAGAAACATGGTTAAAATGTTACTAGTGGGAGAAATGTTACTAGGGGGAAGGGGACAGGGTAGGTTGGGATACGGGGAGAAGGGCTAGGGAGGAACCATTTACATATGGGTCACTCCATGAGGTTGGGGCACAATTTGTGATGGTGTCCTTGTTACATGAGTAACTTTTACCACCTGTCATGACCTGCAGAGTAGGTCATTTACTCTGTAAAAATAACACACAACCCTGTATTCAGCCTTGCAAGATGTCTAATTTGGAATCCACAGGCAGGGAAATAGCTGTTCATTTTTACGGAACCCACGTAACAATGGACACCGTCACAAATTGTGCCCCAACCTCATGGAGTGACCCATATACAGATACATGCCTGGTGACGTGCAGTAGGTACAATGCATTACCTTGGCGGCTGAGCAGCATTAGCTGGTGGGGCTTCCCTAAAAATCGTGGTACATGTAGACAAATTCCCAGCATTATTACTGTACACTCGTTATACCACAAAATGCGTACATTTGAACACATTGCGTACATTACAC